AGCATTACAGACAACCATGGCTAAAGACTGATCTCGAGGACAGCCGCCGAAGCCAGTCACCACGACACAGACCCACCCAGCAGGGGCTAAATGGATACTGGTGCGCGTGGGGCACCACACTCCCTCGCCGCCCCCAGAGGGCCCGTGACCACGAGAGGGACCCGAAGGTGGACCACGGAAGACAAGGAAGCCACGCCCAGCATTACAGACAACCATGGCTAAAGACTGGTCTAGAGGACAGCCGCCGAAACCCGTCACCACGACACAGACCCACACAGGAGTCAAATATACTCGTACACTTTGTGTTCCCAGACACACTTGCCAACTGTACCAACACACACACACACACACACACACACACACACACACACACACACACACACACACACACACACACACAGTGTAAAGACTTCAGGCGGCTGGCTGCTTCTACCTAGTACCCGCCAAATTCCGGTCTTCGTAGGTGGGCCTTGCAGCTTGCTGTCATTTCAGTACATGTCTGTTCAAACAAACAAGCAGGACAACAAGACATGCAGGCGGCCTGATGAATGATGAATGAATGGGGTGTAACAGAACACTACTTAGAATGTGGTCCCACCTTTCTCAGGAGCAGTCATGAGATCTGAGTATACGATCACATACCTTAGGTAGGCAAGTAACATAGGGTGCTGTGTACTTCAACCTGCCAAACTTCAAACTTCAAACTTCATTCTTTGTGGGTGAGTCCTGCAGCTGGCTGTCAGTACAACTACATATCGGGTCAGACAAACAAATCACAACGTTCAGGAACGCTGGACCCGCTTTCCAGCAGGTGCTGCTCCCCACCAATAGGTGGTGCCTCCCCAGGAGTGCTACCATCTTCACCCGAATAGAACGCCCGGTCATTACAGCCGTATCTGGACTGAAAATTGCACCAGAGACGGCTGTAATGACAGGCTGTAATGACCGGGCGTTCTATTGGGGTGAAGACGGTGGTGGTGCGCTCTTATCAGCACACCTAGCATCCGCTTGGGTTGTTCTCTCCAAAACATATATATAAAAAAAAAAAGAAGAAGAAGAAGAAGAAGAAAAAGAAGAAGAAAAAGAAGAAGAAGAAGAAGAAGAAGAAGAAGAAGAATACAGATCTCCCCTCTTTTGGTTTATTTTGTAGATATCTGCAGGGGCCTCCTATTGAAGGTGATACGAGCATCCCACAGTAGTGGGCACCCCAGTTGGGGATCGCTCCAATCTATTATTAGAGGGGAACTGCAGCTGCTGGAAACTGGGCACAGCGTCCAACTACCGTCTTCCCCTGAACACAACGCCCCCTCATTTTTGCTGCACCGGACCGGAAAGATAGCTTGTATACATTCATTATCACGTTGCCTTGTGTTTGGGGGAAGAGGGTGGCAAGATCAGAACAGATTTTGACACAGCAGAACAGCATTGATTTGCCCTCTTGCGAGGGGATTAACTGTCCGCCGACGTAGCCAAGAGCTGAGCCGCCATCCATCATCATCTGTTTTTTCTTTTTTTTCCCCCTGCCATCCATTATCTAACCCTATCCTATTGAGAGATCGTCCCTAACGACCTTCCTCACCTAGGGCAGCTCCCCAGTAGTACTCTCTGCTATCTTCTCTACAGCCCCTCCCTTGGAGTTATATTAGAGGGGGTGAAAACACAAAGAGGACCCATTAGAGGGGTGAAAACACAGGCTGGAATCCGTGAAGTCATACCAAGCCAGCATGGTGTGCAAACCATCTGCTCATGTACCCCCCCCCCCTCCCCCCCAATGAGAGGGAGGGTACTGTTGACAGTCTGTTCCTCACATAGTGACAACTGCACCCCCACCCCTGATGACAGTCGTACGGCAATTGTATTTATGGGGAAAGATATCGTGGTGATACCCACTTTTTTTTTTCCATTACCAAGATCCAATCTTTGAGACCGGGGACCTCACAACTCAACCCGGAGTTATCCCGGCAGCCTTTGCCGGTTTCTTTTTTTTTTTTTTCCGCTTACAGCCATCAGGGCTAAGAAATATCACTGTACATTCCAAACATTTACACAGATAATAGCCTTATTAGGAAAACGTACCTTGCTAAGATTACCCCCGTAGTACTTCAGTTTGACCCTTCACCCATACGAATCTTACTGCCTAAAGTAGTCTATATTCCTACTATTACAACACTACCCTACACCCATACTAATTTTTTTTTGCCGACTGTATGTCATTTTTATTATTATTATTGTTATAATAATAATAATAATAATAATATTATTATTATTATTATTATTATTATTATTATTATTTTATTATTATTATTTATTATTATTATTATTATTATTATTATTATTATTATTATTATTATTTGTAACTGGGGGAAACAGGACCCTCGTGACGAACCCATCACCCCCTTATCCTTACGAAAACCAGAGGCTGATGTTTAAGAAATAAAAGGAAAAAAAAAAA